CAGAATTTTTGCAGAAACTATACATTATTGCAGACGGAATTTACCTTTAATCACCGCAGAAAATCATCGTCCCTGCTTTCATTCATTAGTAAAGATAATTGCACACTCTAGATCCTGTGTAAAGACCACGTGACCAATGACTTTGATGATAACGATAATAAACAGTATTTATCAAAATCGTGTAGTTGACACCAATAATTATAATTTTGTTGAGATTTGGGCATATTGGGATTTGAATGTTCGGTCATGTCGGAATTTAGCTATCAGGATGTTGGACCATTTTTTTTTTAATATATTGATATTAAGTTTATCGCATTTTTTTTAAAAATAGTAGTTTACCTTCGTTTGGAACAAACAAAAGCTGCTACTTATAAACCCTAAACATACGATAGAATTTTTAATTAATGTCACTTTGATTGAATATAAAAAAATAAACGTGCTACCTGTATCACTTAGGATTGTATGATAACTTTGGTTGTTTTTGTATGAATACTTTTTGTAATTTTAATTTCTATTTTCAGCCTCAAAAGAACAGTAGTACTGAAAAATATAAAGCTTTCAGTTTTACAATAAAACTTAATGTCACTGTAAATAGATCCGATAAAGTCGTAAAGTTCCTCAACAGTTGATCTGTTTTCCGGAATAGGACCCAACGTTTTTCGATAATGAATTTTGGCCACCCGTGAACTCCTTTATAAATTTCTAATTCGAGATATACTGTATATAAGACATCGCTCGCTAAATGATCGTTCACTTGTTACAATTTCGTACACTACCATTCCAAATCTATAATAATTAATGCATGGTTTTTTATATATTTCCCTGGACTCACATAAGGAAGTACTCCAAAAATTTCTCGCAAATAATATATTTCTGGGTGACAACCCACAAATTTCTTTTTGTAGTTGGGATTAAATATTTATGACTGCCGTCATTCCATTGTACTGTATGTATGATTATTTCGAGTATTCATTTGTAACAGATCTTTTAATCATTTCATAGTATTTTATTTCATTCCTCAAACTGCATTTAAAAGTGTTCTGTATCTCTTTTTGAAATATTTGATTGTGTTAGAAAACGAAAAACTCTAGAATAATTATTTTTACCTCGTCTATAAACTTCGAAGTAATTTACTTTGAATTATGTAATGATTTCAACCCAATTTTGAATTTTTCATTTCATTTAAATTTATTTTCTTATATTCAATGATCTGTTCAACCAAATTGCTTTATCGCATCCTTTTATTAGACTAGGAAATGGTGAACCATTGTGAGTCCGGAGTGATAATTTTTTAATTAGTTTATTTATTTATACAAGTCACGTGCATCGACAACCGGAAATCCCACGTGACAATCAAATTTTTCACATCGCAGAATAATATTGCTTACGCTCCGGACAATTATTTATATCTTAATCTCTGTTCGACCATTTAAATTTATAAATATGTATGTGCCCACTAATTAAAGTTGTAATTTTCTTAATAAGTAAAAATTTACTATAATCAGGAGTATTCAATATCATCTTAGAATACATTTTATTATAATTATTGATTATTCATCTGGCGTATATATCAATATTTATAGACATGTCTCCCAAAAATTTTCTAATGATAGTTATTCTAATTTGGAATAGGAATCAGTTTATTATATGATATTGTGAAGTTCAGGCTCATTGTAAAGTACAATCATACCTGGATTATATCTCTCTTAGTTTATATCATCTTATTTAAAGCCTCATTTGTATCCATATCTGAGCTGGAAATAAACCATTTTTTTCATATATCCCACTCTCAGTTATACCATAAAATTTCAAACATACGGAAATAAAAATCACGCTATAATTCAGGTATGTCTGCACTATATAGCGAGCTAACCCAACAAAATCATGGTTAATTATTTCATTGTAATCTTTATAATATATATTACTTAAATTACTGATTACTATTTAATATTCAACTAGAAGTTTGTATAAATCATGCTTTAGTTTTTTTTGTGATATTTATTGGAACTGTGATTTATTTTTCACTCTAAAAAATCACCAACTAATTGTGATAGCAGTCAAGAGATACACAAACATTTTCAAGCTAATTGCTACCAATGAAAGCTAGGATTGTGAAGTTTGGATCATCAATACTTGATGGAAATTTGGATTATCATATGAGAAAGGAAAGTTGTTAATTTCTCCACTTGGTGGATAAATTTGTGATGATAATCTTGTGGTGTCAAGCTGCCAGACTTTCTATTCAGCTTATAGAGTAATCTTTTGGTTACTATACTGTTGCTAATTCCAAATTAATAATGAATTTGAAAATTACTCCACCAACTTCAGCTTCCGTGATCATAGTCATTATCTTCTATCTTTTTGTGTGGAGACCGTAACTTGGTCTTCAGTAGTAGATTCTTGATTAAAAGTATTATTACTAGGTCTAACAATCATTATCCCGATCAATAGATTCATATTTTATTATTGAAAATGTTGTATTTCTATTCCAGTAAACAGACCAATTGCTGAATAAATATATCAGTTTATCAATTTTATCATCTGTGTTGATGACGAAGCTTATTAAGTACTGAATTTTCCAAATTGATAAAAATGAATCAAAAAAACATTACTATAAAAAAACAAATTCACTAAATTCACTCAATGTAGTTTATATCAGTAAATATTTACTTCAAAATTAGTCTCAATAACAACCGTTAATGGGTGTGTACTTTCTATTTCGAAATGTATTATATTAACTTTTCACAATTAAAATTTATGTTTAAGATTTTTTATTAATTTCATTAGTTTATTACTTTGGTGCAAAACGAATTCTCCTACCTACACACACTATTGTGATTCACATTAGTCAATTTGGAGTCATTAAATCATGGCTTAGAGTATATCACTACCCGAATATATGTTTAACTTGTAGTTGCAAATCCCATATCATTCTAAGCGAGTTAAATATATATTTTATCATCATATATGTATCAAATATCTGAAATTTGAGCTCAAAAATATGTGAAAATGTTCATACTAAATATAAAAATTATGTGAATAATTTTTGAAATGTGTATACAAACTAAATTTTTATATATATATATTATATCTCAAAAAAATTTGGTGAAAACTGTACACATATTACATTGTGTTCAGATACTGCATATATTATGTACGAATTGAGCAATGATTAGTAATATAGATCATGAATTTTGGGATGACTTTAATATTATTCAACTTCACTTTAAATAAATATGATAAAAAATATATATTTTATTTAGCGAAAAAATATTCATACATATATTTTAATATCAGATTTGAGCATTAATTACAACTTTACTCTTCTGATTTGATTTTATTTCATTTCTCTGCAAGTACATCCATCAATTTTTTGGAATGTATTGCTTGTAATAAATTCATCTTTTCAAAACATCCTATAAATGAATAATTAAATTTGGATCAAGACTCTGAATAGATTATAGAAGTGAAGTTATTAAATTTCTCTCTCTCTATTCATCAATCTAATAATTTCGTGAATTGATATATTATTATAAACAAAAATAACTGATAGTTATTTAAAAATAATTCAAATACTATAGAAGTATTTTATATATTTTTGACTAGTTATTATATTTTTAATCTCAAGTGCATTTTGAATGAAATATCTTTATATTATTAATTTTCAATTATTTAATTTTATATTAAAAAAAAGATAATTAATATTATATATTTAATATTAATAAATATTAAATATCTTAATTCATAACTAATTCATATTCAAGAATCTAATTTTTTATTCTAGATACTATTTTAATTATTTTTGATAGTTTTTTTCAGATATAAAAGATTTTTTTAGTTTAGCCAAATTAAAAAATTTATTTTTATAAAAATTATAATATAAAATTTTAGAATTAATTTTCAGAATAGTATTAAATTTTTCAGTAATTTTATTAATATTTATTATCAGTTTTCATTTATAATATTATATAAAAAATCTTAACTCACCAATAAATTACATAATATTTAAAAACTATTAAAGTCTTTAATAAATTAAATTTTAAAAAAAATAAACTGATAATAATCTTGTTTAAGATATATACTATTAAGCTATCAGTTAGAATTTTAATTTAAGTTTTAAATAAAAAGTTATAAGTATTTTAAATCAGATATTTATTATATATTTTAATTGGAATTAAAATATATTATATGAATATTTTATAATATAAAACTTATTTTATTAACTAATTATTTTTTAATTAATTCTATTTGTAATTTATTAGATTTAATAATAACTATAATTTAACCAAGTTATTTATATATTTATATAATATATAAACTATAAATTTAAATTATTTTTATAATATTTTTTAAAAAATCATAATTTTAAGTATTAATAGTTTTTATATTTTAAATATATAAGTTAGTAATTTTTATAAATATAATTTGTAATAAAAAACTGAAATTATTATTTTATTTATATTTAATAAATATTTATTTAAATTATATAAAATTTTAAATATATAATCAGATCTTTTTATAATTATTATACTTAAGAAAATAAAATTAGATAAAATTTTAAATATATAATCAGATCTTTTTATAATTATTATACTTAAGAAAATAAAATTAAATAACTAAAGAAAGATATAACTATAAAAAGATTTTTTTAATTATTATTAATTAGTAATTAAAAAACTTAAAAAAATAATTATAAAAAAATAAATTATAAAAAGATAAAAATATAAATAGATTTAATTATATATACTTGATGATTTAATAAATAAGTTTATTTAAAAGTATTTAATAGCTTATTTTAATAAAATTTTTTATAAGTAAAATTTTTTTATTGAAATTTTTTGAAAAAATTATTTTAAAAAGTTTAAATACTTTTTTTAATCTTTTTTTATTTGTTATTCAATAAATATTTATTTAAATTATATAGAATTCTAAATATATATACTTAATAATTTAGTAAATAAATTTACTTAAGATTAATTTACAAAATAATAATTAAATTTAATTATAATAATTTTTCTAAATTTTTTTAATTATTAAAAATTTTTAATTTTAAAAATATAAAATACAAATAAAATAAGTATTTAAGTAATCTTAAGCAAAATTATTTATTATATTTTAATATATATATATATTTATAATAATTTTAATTAGTTATCTCTCTTTAGTTTAGATCTATACTATTTATATAATAGATTAGTTTTTGTATTATTTTTTATGAAGATTAATTTGATTCTAAATATATAAATAATTATTTATATATTTAATATATTATTATACAGATAATTATTATATATACTTATATTATTAATTTAGATAATTATTATTTTTAATTAAATTTCTTTTTAATATTTTTTTATAATTTTACTTATTTTTCTTTTATTATATTTATATTATTATCAATTATTGAATTGTAATTAGTTATTCTTTGAAGATATAAATTAAATTAATTAATTTATTTAATTATATATATTTTAAAAATAAAATTATTATTAATTTATTCACTTTTTATATTTATTTCTTTTCATTATAAATAAATACTATCTATTCTGTAATTAACTTTAAATTTAAATATTCTTAAATAATAAAAATTATAAGTTTTATAAATTAAAACTATTTACTTTACATTTTATTTTATTTATAATCATTAACAAAATAATCTTATAACTTAATAGTAATAATATAGTTATTATAAATATTATTCTTTAATATTTTATATATTATATATACTTTATATTTATATATCTTAGTTTTAGAAATTAATTATAATTAAAATAAATAGTAAATAATTTGATTAATTTATACAAGAAATAACTAATCTTATTAAGATTTTAAAAGAAGATAATTTCTCTAATTTAAAGTTCTTATCTTATTTTTCAGTTAAAATATTAATATACTTAGAAATAAAAATATATTTGTCTAAATAATACAAGTAAAACCTATATTTTAGAATTAAGAAATTATAAATAAGAAAAACTTTAATATAATATATCATCATTTTCTTAACTGATATAATCTTATATTAATATCTTAATAAATATAAAATAGATAATAATATTATACTATTATGATGAATTGATAAATGAGTTTTTACTTGAATTTATCTTAATAATATAGAGTTAGAAGAGACTAAAATAATTAAAGAGCAAAGAGAGAAGAATTAGATTATACTTTAAATAATGACAAAGATTTCTAAGATTTATGTCAATATCTACAGATATTATCTTAATAAAGAATAAAATAAATAATAAAAGAAAGAAATAAATCAAAAAAATTATAAAGATTAATAAGTAAAATTATTATTAATCAATATAATTCAAGACTAAAAGGGATTAAATAGTAAAGTTATTATTAATCAAAGAAGTTTATTACTAAAGAAAAAGATAAAAACTAAAGTATAAAAACTAAATAATTAAAAAAATATGACTTATTTATAGTAAAGATCTTCTACTTTCAAAAATAATAAATAAAACAAAAAAAATATGACTTATTTATAGTAGAGATCTTTTATTTTCAAAATAATATTAAAAATTAATATAATATTATAATCCAAATCAAAAATTAATTTTATATTATCAAAAAAATAAAATCAAGTGAAAAAAAGAGGACTAGTATAATTAAAAAAGAAATCTTTCAAAAAGATTATTATTATTATGATAATAAGCTTTTTAATTATATTTTCCAAATAATTTAATCTAAAACTGTTTATTTCAAGTTAAGATAACAGATTCTTTTATTTATTTTTCAAATACATAAACTATTATAGTATTATTAGTTAATACTATCTAAATATATATGTTATTATTATGAAAAACTATATAATTAAAATATTATAGTTTAAATATTAGTATTAGAAATATAGACATTAAAAGATGTTAAAAAATATTTGAAATGTTAATATTTATGAATATATATAAATATTATAATCTTCAAAATGTTAATATTTATAGATATATATAAATATTTGTGATTTTTAAAATATAGATATTTATAAATATTTATGATTTTAAAATATTATTATTTTACCAAAAATTAAAAATGAACTTTCAATATATTATTATACTATATACATGAAAATTAAATCTTGATAATTATGATAATATTTAATTTATTTTTCATTAATAGAATACTTGAGAATATTTTCATTCTGATCACAAATTTTATAAGAGTTATATCTAGTATAATTATAAATATAATATCATTCTTTATATCAAATAGATTGAAATTTATCTTTAATTATTAAGTATTATTTCATATTAAATATTAATACTTTATTTCTAATTTCAAATATTATTTCTTTTTGAATTTTATTATTATATTTTTAAGAATATTACAATTGTTATTCTTTTA